CCAAACAGCAGAGGCCGTTAGCTGTGCAGGCTTGCTGCTGGATCAGATAGCAGTACAGGTTAATTTCTCCTTTTGATTCAGTTCCCATGTGGTCATTGCCTTTGTCTCTCGTCCTCCTTTTTAAAGTGCCGTTGTCTTGATCTCTTTTTTACCCCAAAGTTCTGCCACAGTTTTTTCCTGTCAACTATCTTGGATTACCCAGAATCCTTCTTAGAGTAATTTATTATGTTAGAATGTTGTTATTTAAGTGCTGCATAAGGTTGTTGCCTGGTTACCGCCCTCAACAGCAGTTATTGACTCAGCACAAAGAGGAAAAGAATCAAGTCTGTATCATCAATCGACTTTATTGGTTAGTTAAAACAGACATACAATTCAAACCATTTGGTTAAGGAAGGGTAAAACAGGCATGCAATTCGTGTAAGACTAAAGTCTATGCGCGCACCCACTAGGTTTCTCAGACATTTTCTGAATAGTCAGAACATAAAGGCTAATACTCGAGAACACGATTTCACACTCGCCAGGTGATCCCTTAGGTCCCCAATGTAGTGTCCACGCTTTCAACGTAGGGTTTCCACTTCGGTCAAGATTGATCTCCAGAGTTTTCACTGCTTGCACACCCTAAACCCTTCATTTTTATCCTTTTTCCTTCCTGAAATGTGGTGTCTTACTTTCGTTAGCTCTGGCTCATCTGAACTTGTGTCCTTTTGTTATAGACTCCAGTCCAAGGTCACTGGTAGCATAACTTCATTATTCTTCTACCAGATAAGGATTTATTCCTTATGTCACTTGCCTTGCTTTCTTCGGAACTGAGCCAGTTCCAACTGGTTCCACTCAGCATAAGCCAGCAGCTGAGGCTTGGGTTACTTCAGTTCACAAGCTGCTGTTTTTATGTTAGCAGCCCCTCGCCAACAAAGTGAACTGCTAACTTGCCATGCCTCTTATAATCTAACAGGAAATTGTTTCTCTGTCATTTGATATAGTCACCATGACATAGAAGAAGAGTATTCTGCGTATTATGTCCATGCATGTATGATGATCCACCAACCTTGGCAGTTTGGCTCAGTGCTGTAAATGGCAGTAATATGATAATTGCAGACCTGATAAAATAGATCTAATAAAATCCAAAAGAGTGGTGAGCCTATGGCATTTGTAACCACAGACTGCAGTCAAGGCCAAAGCATTGTTTGATTTCAAGAAGGAGTTGGTTGTAGTACTTGTGGCTAAAAGGGTCAAAGGGTATGGGGGAAATGTGCGAACAGGCTATTGAGTTGAATGATCGTAATGAATGGTGGAGTAGGTTTGAAGCCTCAAATGGCCAATGCCTGCTCCTGTTTTCTGTGTTTCCAGAGTTATGTCAGATCCTTTATAATGCTGAGGATAGGAGGTCCCAGCTCGGCTGATCATGGATACCATTTTAAAGGACTGAGTAGTGATTCTTCGCCTATATGAATCTTAAAGAAATTTCCAGAGATTTCAGCACCAGTGTAAAATGTTATCTTCATTTTGATTTTTGAGCATGAGAGAGCTCGGCTATGCAGCTTATTCTTAGTAGGGTTTCCTCCAACTTGTCGTTTTTAGCAAGCTTTGCTCCAGCATTACTTCAAGCCAGTCACTGTTCAAAACAGCAGGGTTCTACAGCAACGCAAGTAGTTAATACCCATCATATTTTTAGGAATCATTTCAATTGCCTCTTTTAAACCGTTTTAGCTTTGAACACCAAGCTTGGAATAAATCTCTTTTCCGCAATCCTTCAAAACTTTACTTCTTGAAGTACTACTAAATACAGTATCTTCACCTAAAATTACATGCTGTCTGGCGAGCAGCCCCGGACAATGCATAGTATTTTTTGAAATCTTTATGTCTGCACTCCTTGAACTTTTGAATTGAATTGGATTAGCTTTATTGTCATTTGTACTCAAATGAATACAAATGAGTACAGTGAAAAGTTTACAAGTTGCTACCTATGGCGCCAATTTAATTACAAGATATAGATTCTTCAGTGCCAATTTTTAGGAAAACAAAATTAGAAAAATAAAGAAATAAAACATCCAGCATTACAGTTTGTAGGAATAGATTAGAAGTTACAGACGTAAAAGCTTCAGAGCAACAGTCCTTCCAACCCAGCCCACACTGGTACCTAGCATCCAGTCTGCAGCAGGCTTTGACTCCAGACCGTGCTGGGCTTCACTCGAGGCTCTCAAGGCCAGAAGTTCACGCTAAGGGCATCCCAAGATTGCTATGGGCCTCCAAAAGACCATTACACTGCCCTGCTGAGAGATCGCCATGCTGGACTGAGAAACTACTATGTTGGGCCAAGAGGTCACCTTGCTGCGCTCATGTTGAGGCCGGGAGTCCCAGTCTGCGCGGAGGCCAGGAGTTTGGGATATCGCCAAGAAGAGAGAGAAAAAATACTCTAAAGAGAAGAAAAGAAAAAGGAACAGACAGAGCAGTCGAGGTCTGGCTGAAGCATCCTACTTTGCCAGCAACTTGGAAAGGATTTTCTGTTGATAGATAAATGTTTTCTTATTTATATGATTGTACGCAATGTAAATTTGGTTGATTTCATCTGAATGTATCTGCATTTTACTGTTTGGGAGACAGCAGCAGTCAATGAGACAGGGCAGTAACATGGCATGGTACTGCTGTTTGGTGCTTTTTCAGGCTTCAGCCAGCGTATGGAATCTGAGGGCTGTGCAGTACTGTCCCTCATAATAGACAGCAAGTGTAGAGCAGTCGTGAGGCACTTCTTTTACACTCTTTAGTCATCACTGGCCATCACTGTTTGAGTTTGTATGAATTGTTAGATTCCCCTTAAATGCTTGTGCGTCCTGTGTTTAACCTGAGAGAGATGGCTGTTTGAGCAACTTCACTCAGTAGGCCACTGTCACTTTATGTAGTGTTGACACGTGAACTTCCATTATAAATGACACTGTACATCCTTGAAAAGCTGTTTTGATAAAATGAATCTTTGCCTATAGCAATGTGTGGAATGATCACTGATTCTGTCCTCCCACCCAAAAAGTGGTTATAAATGAATACACTACACACAGTGGACCCTACCGTAGCAAACTTGGTGTTGTCCACATTAAAGTGCAATGCCTTTTTCTAGAGTCAATGCTGTTATAGTTCAAGGATTCATGACATGCAATGCTATCTACCGTAAGGAATGAGTTGCTGATGAGAGATGAGCAATATTTGGCCATACAACTTATTTCTTCCTTGCGATAAGTAAAGAGGCTGCTCATATGTCAAACGTATGTGACTTCTCCAGATCTTACAGCTGTGAAGAGACTAGAGCAAACATTTTAAGAGTATAAGTGATCATATGTTTAAAAATTGCAAGATTATTTACAGCGAAGTATCACCTGCACCACCCATGCGCCCTCAGTAAATGTTTCTTTTCTCTCTTTCTTTCCCTCCTGCTATGTTGGAAGAGCTGTCCCAACATCTATACATGGTGTGGAGGAAGCCTACTTTGTAGTTGACCCTGTTGGTCTGGAAGACACCAAGTGGACTTGTGTACTACCAAGTTGTGTAGAGATAATGAGCAGTGGTGGACCTATGTTTATAAAGTAACAGGAAAAATGGCAGCATCTTAGCCTTGCCGAACAAGAAGGTCATTTACCTCCCTTTTGGCACTACTGAATGTTGCTTTTCACCCTGATGCCACATTGACCCAGGCTGATATCTCTGTCCAGGCTGATTCTGTCTGGTGGTGTTGGCCTACTTTGATGGTCTGGAGGAAACAGCACTGTCTTTCTCATGACCACACTGACCATTAACACCTCTAGGTCTCTGCCTGCAAAACTTCTAGCTACCAGCTTTCCTTTCTGGACCACGTACTCTGTGATGAGAGTTTGTCAGCACACTGTGAAAGGCAGTTCCTGGCTTGCACTATGTAAAGTGCTGTGCAGCTTTGTGCCAGCAGCCTGAATGTTGCGATACCCTGACAGTGGCAAACATTTCCATCACAATTACAACACAACTGTAAGAGTCAGGTGCTGTAGAGGTCAGTTGCTTAACTAATGAAGATTGCACAAGGAAAGTTTAGTGAACTATGGCAGGCCTCGCCAAAAGAAAACTGTCAGAAAATCGAAAAGTTCAACCTTTATTTTCAATTCATGTGCTTTTAGTTTTCACAACCACAAATTTTGTAAAAGATTGTACTGTATGTGGTGAGCAACCAATCCCCATAGTGATGATAGCCCTATCATCCGTTAGCTGGCTGGACCACTTTACCTGTCAGCTATCCATCTGAAGTCTAGCCTACTAACCACTCCCTCATTCAACTAGGTCACCGTATCCAGGTTAATCCTTCAAGTCTGGACCTCAGCCCAGTGCACTGCCACACACTTGAACTGGGGCAGGCTACCTAAATTGTTAAAATGGATGTGGGTAGTGGCGGCAAGGAGCAGCTGGAAGCTGGTTGGACCATCCCTGTGCAGGTATTCGAGTGTGGCTGCTTAAGCTCATGCCATACCCACCACTGGGTTAGCCAGGCTTGCTAATGCAAAGAAATGCTCCCAGATCAAGTACAGATCATCTGCCAGCCTTTGCCACTGTAGCCCCTCCCATCTTTAGAAAGAAGGTTCTAACATCTTTCTTTCTGAGGTGTTGGGTGAGATGCAGTTGAAGTTTTTCATCTGACACTTGTTATGTCCAGTGCTGTTGCAATGAATGGGGAGGAAGGCATTAAGGAGCGTTCTATCGTGAGGTTAATGTTAATCCACTTTTTAAAACTACTGTCTTATGGCAAAATTGTTTTCATTTAGCATGTTTTTGTTTAGAACATCTATTTTAAGAAACACATTAAGCATGCTAAATAATGGATATCTTAATTTGCTGTGATACAAAGTCACTAATCCAATATCGCTCCATTTACTAGATATCTGGATAACAAATGGAATAGTACCTTAGATGAAATTGTCATCAGTCTTTGGATATGTACTGTCTCTCCACTAGAAAAAGATAATTGCTTTTTATTTTCTTGTAAATTAAAGCATTAGCCATGGAATCTCCTGCTCACTACCCATCAGTTTGTAAAAAGGCCTTGAAAATTGCCTTATCTCTTCAAAAGAAGCAGCCTGATAAAGATGTGATACGATGCAGGTCAGTAGCCAAGCCAGAGGAATATACAATCACATTCGAATCTGTTAACTAATTTAACCCTTCTCCATAGTTGAAATTGTTAAGCATTGCCTCTATTTCATTGATTTATACTTTACATAGTTGTTACAATTCTCTTTGATCTGTTGAAGAATCTGACGGCATTATGACACCACTACTAAGGTCAGTTGATACAATAACAGACAGATGAAGCCATTCAGGTCCATCCACACAGTCTTTTATTATAGCATGTTTTGTATTATGCAACATGTGTATGCCCTAAATCATCTGAGGTAATGTGATCTCCAGGGAGATTTGGAAAATGAGAATTCTTTTTATTCATTCACGGGATGTGGGCGTCGCTAGCTAGGCTAGCATTTATTGTCCATCGCTAATTACCCAGAGGGCAGTTAAGTGTCAGCCACATTGATGTGAATCTGGGGGCACATGTAGGCCAAATCAGGTAAGGATGGCAGTTTCCTTCCCTAAAGGACATTGGTAAACCGGCAATAGTTTCGTGGTCTTTGTTAAACTCTTTATTCCAGATTTTTATTGAATTCAAATTCCACCATCTGCTGTGGTGGGATTCAAGCCTGGGTCTCCACAACATTAACTGGGTTTCTGGATTATTCTCTCTTTTGATACAGATTCCATAATTTTCTTGCTACTCATGTTAGGTTTTTTTTAATCTATACAGTACTTATTCGAATATGTTTGATTCCTCTGGAACTACACTTTTTTCTTATAATTAATTAGCAATGTGTCGTGACACCTCTGCTAACTCTGCTGTAGGTTGTTTTAACATGCATTGTGGTTGTATATCCAAGGACCGGGGACCCCTTATTCTCTATTAGTTTATCCCTTATTTTTATCCTAAATGCATCCATCTCATCATGTCCACTTGATCTATCTCTGATAAATACCACAACAAAATCATTACTTAATATTTCCGTGATCTCTTTTGTCACTTGTGACATTATCCTGTCTATCCCTTAACGGTCATGTTTTCATCTCAGTTTAGCCATCCTTTTTTTCAGTTTCATGCCGTTCTAAAATATTTCTCTATTGTTTTATGTTCCTTTATAATTTAATTTCATGGCTTCCCTCTGTCTTTCTCATTTATAACTGAACGGAAGCATTTCACAAAGCTGCTGTCCATTTTGTATTTCATCTTCCATTAGTAGAGGAGATCACGTTGTGAACAGTGAACACAAATAGATTATCTTTTTAACATTTGTAGCAATGTTTGGTGCTTGGATGGTTGGAGAGAAGGGTTTAAAGAGGCAGATATTATATCTCCTGCACTTGCAGGAGAAGCTGCCATGGTAGGAGAGGAGTTGGTGGGATGATTGAAAGGTGGCCCAGATGTCATGGAGGTAATGCTTATTTCAAAATACTGAAAGGAGAGTGAAATAAGACCTGAGATTCTGTTGCATTCTCCCAGTTTCTCCTGCTTTGTTGCATCAGATAATGCCATTTTTTACAATATTATTAGACAGACCTATTTGGAGAGAACAGGTCAGATTTGATTGGAGACAGTAGCAACAGCAGAATGGGGTAGGCTTAATTTTTAAAAATGAGGAAAATAACATTACAGGAAGACCAGGAATTGATTATCTGGTGAGTATTGTTACTTTTTTTTTCTTGAAAGTTAAGAATTTTGTTAAAGAAGCTGGGAAGTCAGCATTTCCATTTTATTTAGATATTAATTAGGCAAAACATCCAAGTAAACTTCTCTTTAAGTGATGTCAGCAGAATGGAAGTGAGTAGATGGTGAGTCTTTTACAGTAGTCGATTTTGTTATCTAATAGATATTAACTTCTCAAGCACACATCCTGTGCTGTGTGTTAGCTCCGGACACTTCCATGTTCTCTATAACTACATGTGCCAGAAATGTCGTCAGCTGTAGCAGTTGGAGTTCCAGGTTTCCCGTTGACATCATTGTAATTTAGCTATGAGATTGAGAACTTTATAGATATGATATTAACACGTGGTCACAGCACAGCATCTGAGGTCAAAAGAGACAGAATTGTTGACCATCAGGCAGTCAAGAAGAAACAAGTCACATAGTGCAGGAGGCCCTTCAGTGCATCTCACTTTACAGCCAAGGTTCACTAACAAGAGGGATGGTTTGTCTGAAGAGTGCCGCCGAAGTCATGTTCATGTCATAGTGCCCAGCTCAGTTGTACAGGAGAGCTAGACTCAAAGGAGCAGTGGTGATAGGAAATTTGAAGGAATATCAAACAGGCATTTCTGAAGCTACTGCTGTGAATCCAGGGTGGTAGTTGCCTCTCTGGTACTAAGGTCAGAATGTCACCTTCCACAGAGCGTCATAAGAGGAGGTAGTTGAACAGTAAAGGGTCATGGTCCACATTGGTACCACTAACATAAGTAGACAAAGAGATGCAGTCTTACAATCAGATTTTAAGGAACTAGTAAGACATCAGTAAGCAGAGCTGAAAAGAAATTGTCATCTTCAGTTACTTTAAGTACCATGCATGTGTTTATAAAAACAAGGAAACCTGACAAATGGGGTGGCTGAAAAGATGCGCAAAAGTTAGAGCTTTAGGTTTGTGGGACCTGGGTTCTTTATACCAGGATGCTATCACACCTCTTAAGATAGGTTTCTGATATGATCAATGGTCAGGGATAGGAACATGTGATTGTAGGTGAGGCAGGTAAATAGACCCACAGGACAAGAGTACCAGACTCTGCAATTGTCCCACAGGTTTGAGGTTCTCTCAACTTGTTTGGATGAGAACAAGGGCTGTGGGATGGATGAGCTACATGACCATGTCACTGAGGTACTTATCCAAGTTGGGAGAGCCAAGAGGGATGTAATCAGGGCAGTATAGTTTGGGGTGATTGATACTGTTCTCCACAGCAAAGAGCGATCGTCAAAGTGGCTGTGTCATCTACTCGGTCTGGGCTGAAGAAGAAATTGCAGCGGAAGGGGAGGATTCAGTTGTTGTGGCTCATGTAAGCACCAATGACTTGGGAAAAATGAGGAAAGAGATTCTGCATATCCAATATGAGGTGCGAGACATTAAATTAAGAAGGAGAACCTGGTGGTAATAATATAGGAATTATTAATTGAGCCATGTGCAAATTGGCATATAATAAACAAGGTTAGAGAGATGAATGAGATAGTAGGAACTGCAGATGCTGGAGAATCTGAAATACCAAGATATAGAGCTGGATGAACACAGCAGGCCAAGCAGCATCAGAGGAGCAGGAAGGCTGACGTTTCGAGCCTAGACCCTTCTTCAGAAATGGGGGAGGGGAAGGGGGTTCTGAAATAAATAGGGAGAGAGGGGGAGGCGGATAGAAGATGGATAGAGGAGAAGATAGGTGGAGGGGAGACAGACAGATCAAAGAGGCGGGGATGGAGCCAGTAAAGGTGAGTGTAGGTGGGGAGTTAAGGAGGAGATAGGTCAGTCCAGGGAGGACGGCCAGTCTAGGGGGTGGGATGAGGTTAGTCGGTAGGAGATGGGGGTGGGGCTTGAGGTGGGAGGAGGGGATAGGTGGGAGGAAGGATAGGTTAGGGAGGCGGGGACAAGCTGGGCTGGTTTTGGGATGCAGTAGAGGGAGGGGAGATTTTGAAGCTTGTGAAGTCCACATTGATACCATTGGGCTGCAGGGTTCCCAAGCGGAATATGAGTTGCTGTTCCTGCAACCTTCGGGTGGCATCGTTGTAGCACTGCAGGAAGCCCAGGATGGACATGTCGTCTGAGGAATGGGAGGGGGAGTTGAAACGGTTCGCGACTGGGAGGTGCAGTTGTTTAGTGCGAACCGAGCATAGGTGTTCTGCAAAGCGGTCCCCAAGCCCCCGCTTGGTTTCACCGATGTAGAGGAGGCCACAACGGGAACAGCAGATACAGTATACCACATTAGCAGATGTGCAAGTGAACATCTGCTTGATGTGGAAGGTCTTCTTGGGGCCTGGGATGGGGGTGAGGCGGGGTGGTGTAGGGGCAGGTGTAGCACTTCCTGTGGTTGCAGGGAAAAGTGCCAGGTATGGTGGGGCTGGAGGGGAGTGTGGAGCGGACAACGGAGTCCCAGAGAGAGTGGTCCTTCCGAAAAGCAGATAAAGGTGGAGAGCGAAAAATGTCTTTGGTGGTGGGGTCAGATTGCAGATGGCGGAAGTGTCGGAGGATGATGCGTTGGATCCGGAGGTTGGTGGGGTGGTACGTGAGGACGAGGGGGATTCTGTTTTGGATGTTATTGTGGGGAGTGGGTGTGAGAGATGAGTTGTGGGACATGTCCGTCCTGGGCCTCCTGCAGTGCCACAACGATGCCACCCGAAGGTTGCAGGAACAGTAACTCATATTCCGCTTGGGAACCCTGCAGCCCAATGGTATCAATGTGGACTTCACAATCTTCAAAATCTCCCCTCCCGCTACCGCATCCCAAAACCAGCCCAGCTTGTCCCCGCCTCCCTAACCTGTCCTTCCTCCCACCTATCCCCTCCTCCCACCTCAAGCCCCACCCCCATCTCCTACCTACTAACCTCATCCCGCCCCCTAGACTGTCCGTCCTCCCTGGACTGACCTATCTCCTCCCTACCTCCCCACCTACACTCACCTTTACTGGCTCCATCCCCGCCTCTTTGATCTGTCTGTCTCCCCTCCACCTATCTTCTCCTCTATCCATCTTCTATCCGCCTCCCCCTCTCTCCCTATTTATTTCAGAACCCCCTTCCCCTCCCCCATTTCTGAAGAAGGGTCTAGGCTCGAAACGTCAGCCTTCCTGCTCCTCTGATGCTGCTTGGCCTGCTGTGTTCATCCAGCTCTATACCTTGATATCTCTAGAGAGATGAATAGTAGTTAAAGGCCTGATGTGGGAGGACTAGGTTCCAGTTTGTAGGAGACTGATACTAATATGACAAACGTGAAATTTGTACCATTTGAACAGTATATACTTGAACATTACTTGCAAACTGCATACTTAGGGAAGTAGAGCAGGTTTTAAATTAAAAAGGGAGGACAGGGACCAAATTTGGG